CAATCCGCTACCTCGACCTCCGGGGCGAGAAAGCCCCGTTCGTAAGTGCGGATCCGACATAAGTCGGATCCGCGTAAGTCGGGGACTGCCTGTATTTGTGTTTGAGTCTTCAAGGCATTTTCCTCACAAGTAGTATCTTTGTCAGCCCTGTCCTGTTTCTCTTTTTATTTGTGAAGGATCTCTGGAGACTGGAACTTGAAAAGATATAGTAGACCATACTGTGTGCTTAACTAGCTGCAGGCATGCAATTCCATACGGTGAATTCAGCAATAGTTTGCAAGCTAAGCAGAATCTGCTCTGGTCACTCCTTCAATGGCACAAAGTATTATCAACAATGATTGATTCAGTTCTCTCTTAAGTCAGTGACCCAGGCAGATAGGACAGGGCGTTTTACTACAGCAGGTATTGTGCTTTGGTGGAAATGCAACACAGATGTTCTGACCATTTCTTGTTTAGAAATATCCCACTACTGTTTTCATAGGAGTGAAGATAGTCCATGTGGCCTAGCTATATTCCATTTCAAGTCACTACATTCTTCATACAAGTCTTTGTGCAGTTGCAATTGGAGATGGTAATTGCCGTCATTTCTCATCACACATAGGTATTGCTGAGAGCTGTTTAAACATCTGCCACCTTCTGCGCCACAGGTGGTTGTGTTTCAGTGGGGTGTGAAGAGACTCTTGCAAGTAATTTGTAACATACATCAGTTTTATTTTGTAAGGGGCTTTCAGATCCTTTGTGATAAATGAACTATGTAAATGCAAGTTGTGGCTGTTAGGCAAGAGGCCTTTAAAATAATTAGAATGGCACCTGCTAGTAACACTAGAGCTAAGCTCTGTCATCTTTCCATTTATAACCCCAGGTTTTCAGGGGATTAAAACTCAGCCCTCCAAATACTTGCCATGCAGTAATTTGATAAAGGAAAATTGTGGGCTGTGAAGGGTTTTTTTCATTTACTGAATAAAATGGGGCAGGGCAGCACGGCGAGACAATGAAATGTTAAGTCTCTTACAAAGCTTGAATTGTGTGTGCATCCCTCTATCAGGGTTCCTGCTAAGCTGCTGGCTGTGCACAAGAGATTTCATGTGCACAAGAAATTTCACACCCGCCCACCTCACCTGCAGGGCTGTGCAACAGCACTCACCACCACTCACTTTCCAGTACTGGCCAGGTGGGCGGCTGCTATCCAGCAGCCCGGGCCCGTTTACCCCAGGAGCTGCCAGCCAGCTGGCTTGGAGTGCTGGGCAACACAGCCTCAGCTTCTTCCTCACCCACTGGTTGAGGGAGCCGGGCAGCCCAGCCCCAGCCCTTCCTCCCACAAAGAGGTGCGGGCTGGCTGGGGTTGGGCAGCCCAGCTCTGCTTCCCCCCAGTAAGCAGCTTCTGGGGGGTCAGGCAGCCCAGTCCTGGGTGCACCCCCTGCAAGGAACTGCTGGAGGAATGGGCAGCCAAGCTCCAGCCTCCCCCCAGTGGGGAGTTGCCACCTCCTCAACCTCTCAGCCCCTCCTCGTGAGCTCCCCCCTGCGCTGAATCTTGTACCCCCCTGGCCTGAGCCCCCCAATAACTCCCATTCCCTGCCCTGATTCCTGTATCTCAGGGTCATGCACCTTGTTAATTATCCATTGGTTTAGTATTGTTTCTAATACTGTGATATAGCCTCATATAATTTGTGAAGCAAAAAGACAGTTATTGCTATGATCCTCTGAGGGCAGACAGGTTCAATACTTGAATAAGAGATCATCAAAGCTGCTGCTGATAGATAGTGCCGTTCGTCTTAATCCACGTGGGACGAATGCTCACCCACATGCCATCAGTGCACAGGGAGCTGCTAGACATGCTTGAGGAGGAGATTCAAAAATTAAATCACTTGTAGTTACTGAAGCTCCCACTTTTGAAAGGAGTTCCCTCTAAGATTTCCCATCCGTGAGTGGAGTGAGTTTTGTCTTGTGCACTTCTTCGGGTGTGCACCACTGTGGCACCCACCAATTACAAACAAAATTTCAGTAGCTAATCTGATTCTGGAGTGTGATCATAGGAGTGTCACATGTAAGACCTGAAAGATGATTGTCCTGCTTGACACCCCCTGGTGAGACCTCCAGTGGAGGTCTGGAGAACAGTTTTGGACACCACACTTTAAGAAAGATGTGGACAAATTGAAGAGAGTCCCCAGAGGACAGCGACAAAACTTACAAAAGGCTTAGAAATTCTGACCTATAAGGAAAATTGAAAGTATTTGACATGTTTAATATAGACAAATGAAGGCTGAAGGGGGACATGAGTGTCCTCAAATATTGTTGCCAAAAAGAGGACTGTAATTAACTGTTCTTTTTGTCCTGTGAGTGTAGGGCAAGAAGTGATTGGTTTAGCTTGTAGCATAGAAGATTTAGGTTAGATATTAGAAGAAGCTTTCTAATTATAATAGTAATTAAGCACTGGAACATACCATCTAAAAAAGGTTGTGGAATCCCCATCACTGGATGGTTTCAAGAACAGTTTACACTAACATCTGTTGGTCATGGTCTAAGCATATTTAATCCTGCCTCAACATTGGAGTGACTAGAGGACCTCTGCATTTCTCTGAGTCTGTCCTATTTGGCAAATGTTTCAATCACAAAGACAGACTTAAAGGCAGGGAAGCAGCATATTTCCCTGGGTGAAAATGAGGGGCTATGGAATTAGCAGCTCCTTTAGAACAGTTATAGCCCCTGTCTATGAATTAGCAAACTCAGGAATGATTTTGTAAATGAGTTGCACCAACCTCAAATTAAATCCAAGGTTTCCTTGTGGGATTTTCAAGTCAGGCTCTAACTGGAGGGGCATTGTCCAAAAGGGTAAATGTATTGTATGCCCCACAATGTATAACATGAAGGCTTGATTTTTTGAGTGGAGCCAAGTAGCCTGCTTCCATTGGCTACACTATTCAGCACCATTCTAGCTCATCCCAGGGATAAAAGTATCTTTACCACTGAACAAGGTTTTACATGTAAAGGGGATTGTGTGTTCTTTCTCTGAAGACAGCAGTAAATCGCTCACCTCTGAGTGCCTCTCTGGTGTGTTAGTTCAGACTGAGAGTAATGAGATCCAACCCATTCACTGCTTTCCTCTGTGGTTTTCAGGAAATGAACTGATGAAGAAATTTTGTCCCCCCCATCCCCAAGTTAAATTTTTATCTGCCAAAAACATGCAAAATAGAACTTAGGTTGACCTTTCTGTTCTGTTCCACTCGGTGCACCTTTGATCTGGCTGTTCCACTTGCAGGCACAGATGCTGAAACAGCATTTTGTTTTGTACCGCTATGCTAGAGGTTCCTTTCATTATCTGTGCTCTGCTTGGACTCCTCACTTTCCTGTGTGTCATTCCCAGCTGTGACCTGATGCCCTGTTGTTCACCTGACATCAGTGCACCTAGAATAGTAATGGCAGTCTCTTCCTCGCTTCTGTTCTACTATACATAGAGCCTAACAGGAGAAGATGTTTTAATGAGAAGTTTACACTTAAATCTTTGTCGGTATTCCTTCCCTTGGATCTGTTTGTAATACATACTGGTTTACATGCTGTACAAAACAGGTGCAGGGGTGTGGCTGTTTTCAGCTTTCTGGTAGGAAAAGGGTGGGAAGCATTTCTAGCCTTTTTCCTTCAGTTTCTTTGTTCTGTATTGGAATTTGTAACTGTCATTGTTTCTCCCTTTCTAGCAGCCCTTCTTTGGTACTAGTTTAGCTGCAAAGAGCAGTCTCAGACCAGGGTATCTTTCACTGCCCGGTTATGGAGAATAGAAGTCTTCATCTCCTGCTTTAGAATGTACTAGTTTAGCTGCAAAGAGCAGTCTTAGACCAGGGTATCTTTCACTGCTCGGTTATGGAGAATAGAAGTCTGCATCTCCTGCTTTAGAACATTTGTGTCTGCCACTTGAGCTCTTGTGAGGGAAAGATATGAGTATTATGAAGGCTTCTGTTCTCTTTTAGCCCAGCCTTTGGAAGATAGTGTAATTGTAAGCACGGTGCCTTTTGTTGAATGCTCCTGTAAGCACTAACCAGTCTGCTGGGGTCTTGGTATGCTCCTTCTGTAACTGGACCTTTTTCTTTATTTAGTAGGTGTTTTAGAATATGGACGCTCATGTTTGTGAGCTAAAGGATGCTCATGTTATATGTGATTGTGTGTATGTATGTAAAGTATTTTACTTGGCACACGTGTAGATAAAGGACAAGAAATTAATTTGTATCTTCTCTCTTTTCAAGGCCCCCTCTATTCTCAGCTTCTTCCCTGGAGTGATGGAAAACTCCTCTGTGGCATCTGCCTCTTCTGAGGCAGGGATTAGCCGATCTCAGGAAATCGAAGAGCTGGAGAGGTTCATTGACAGCTACGTCCTTGAGTACCAAGTCCAAGGTTTGCTGACTGACAAAACAGAAGGGGACGGGGAGAGTGAGAAAACGCAGTCCAACCTCTCACAGGTTAGTGTGACTGAACATGAGGAGTTAAGCTAAAATGTGGGATTACCATGTTGTGGTATCCTGTGCTCTAGGAGATGGACCCTCCAGGTTGAACGCATAGATAAGCAGGCACCTGCAGGTCTTGTTAGCATAACATCTGGGGGATAGTGCAGGGGCAGATTCTTACTCTTTGCGACGGCTAATAAAGATCTTTTTGTCAATTACGCTTTTCATCAGATGTTCCCAAAATAACCCTAATGTTTTATGTATCAGAGGGGTAGCTGTATCTGCAAAAATAATGAGGAGTCCTGGGGCACCTTACTGACTAATGGATTTATTTGGGCATAAGCTTCGGTAGGCAAAGACCCACTTTGATGCCTCTGACAAAGTGGGTCTTTGCCTGCAAAAACTTAGGCCTAAATAAATCAGTTAGGGTACATCTACACTAGCTCGTTAGTTCGAGCTAGGTAGGGTAATTAGAGCAAGCGGAGTTGCAAATGAAACCCGGGATTTAAATATCCCGGGCTTCATTTGCATGTTCCCGGGTGCCGCCATTTTTAAATCCCCCTTAGTCCGAACTCCATGCCCGCGGATACATGCGGCACGGAATAGGTAGTCAGAATTAAAGATCCTAATTCGAACTACTGGTACTCCTGGTGGGATGAGGAGTAACGGTAGTTCGAATTAGGATCTTTAATTCAAACTACCTACTCCGTGCCGCGTGTAGCCACTGGCACGGAGTTCGGACTAAGGGGGATTTAAAAATGGTGGCGCCTGGGAACATGCAAATGAAGCCCGGGATATTTAAATCGGGGGCTTCATTTGCAACTCTGCTTGCCCTAATTACCCTACCTAGCTCAAACTAACGAGTTAGTGTAGACGTACCCTCTGTCTTTAAGGTGCCATAAGCATCCTCATTGTTTTAGCTTCTGTAGAAACACCTCTGAGTTTGAAGTTGAAAAGAAGAGAAATTCCGTCTTCTCAGCAAGACCAGCTTCCTGGGCATACATGTCTGCAGTTTCTGCTTTGATGAACGGAGATTGGAAATAGTTGTTCCTGCTGGTGGGAGGGAGAAGAAAATCTGCTTGGGAGGAAGACAGAGTGGAAATCTGAGGGCATTGTGAGCAATGCGTGACTGCTCTGTAATGCAAGTGTACTGCTGGTAGCTGACGGGCCAAGAAAGCAATCGTTTTGCAAAGACGAGAGCAGTCTCTTGTGGGTGTGCATAGCTCTGTGCAATTCCCTTTTTGCCCCTCCACACGGCACCACCAGCAAAAACACAGGAGCCGGTGCCTCATATGGATTTCACCAGTCAGAATGGGATGTGTTGCAATAACTGGGCTGGGGGGTATTAAGCGAGGGGATGCGCTGAGCAGTTGAGAAGTGCTTGTTAGAACCTAAAGGCCTGTGCTGCCTTGATTCTAAGGCTTTGTCTACACTGCAGGGTTTTTGTGCAAGAAGCTTTTTGTGGGAGATCTTCTGCAAAAACTTCTTGTGCAAAAGTGCATCCACACCTCAAAAGCACATTGCAAAAGCGATGTGCTCTTGCACAAGAGAGCCTCCACATGGCATGGACGCACTTGCGCAAGAAAGTTCTGAGTGCCATTCACAGAATGCCCATCAGAGCACCAGTGCTTTTTCTGATAAGCTCTTTTTGTGCAAGAAACCCCTGCGGAGCATCCACACATGCCTTTTTGCACAGAAGCTGTAGCACAAAAAGGAGTTATTCCTTGTGGGAAGAGGAATAATTCTACCACAAAAAGCCCTCTGTTCTGCCATTTTACTGTAAATTTTCCTGCGCAAAAACGGGCTTGAGGGTATGGACAAAAACAGCCATTTTTGCAGAAAAACCGTATAGTATAGACATAGCCTAAGGGTGGCTCCCGCTGATATTTGGGAGCAAGCTGTTTCATTACCAAAGGCAGCAAACGGCCCAGAAATTCCATGCATGGATGTGGGTGGCTGCTGCTTATCCAGTGACCTGTGAGCTTTTTGCAAAATTGACACTTTTTGCTGTAACTCTGAATACATTTTTGGTTTGGGGGAGGTGTGAAGGCCCTTAGGAGAGGGGATTCTCTATGGAGGGAGTGGTTTGGAACGGTCAGTGAAAGGGGTGCAACTAGAAATAATGGGATGTAACTTTTCAAAATGGGCAATTTGGGCTGAATGTCGTGAAAACCAAGAGCTATCTCCTGAGTGAACTTGTAGGTTGTCTTAGGAAGCTACCCCAGGTGAGGCACATTCTAAACATGTAAAATGGCAGAGATACGTTTAGAGAGGAAGGATGGTCTAGTGGTTAGGTGCTAGACTAACCTGGGTTCAAGTCTCTGCTGTGTCACAGATTGCCTGTATGATCTTATGCAAATTAGTCTGTGTGTCAGTTCCCCATCTGCACAACAGGAGCTTCACAGGGATGCTGTGTAGATAAATGCATGGGAAAGTGTGAGGCTTTCAGACGCAATGGTGAGGGGGCCATTGGAAGTACCTAAGACACTATGCAATAGGGATATAAAGTGTTAACCGGTTACCTTACTGGATGATGCCTATGGGTAACCAGTTAACTGATGGTCTGGCTGGACTGGAGCAGCCTCCTGCCTCTCTTGTCAGCTGCTCCAAGGTTAACCAGTTGGACCTACCATTTAACCGGTCCACATTTTAAACGATAATTAACACCCCTAATATGCAGGTGCAGTCCCTGCCTCAAAGATCATATCTTTGACTAACGGTACTGCCATCTGTGACCATCTAAAGTGGATCTTAGCATCCAATTCCAGACCTAGGTTTGGGTCTAGATATTGAATACACCAAGGTCAAGCTGTGGTTGGGTCCGTCTGTTACAACCATTATTTTTATCTTGCATTAGCTCTTAGGAACCCTTTTCCTGGACCTAGGTGCTTGGCGCTGTACGAACACAAGACAAAAATACAATATGTGTGCCAAAGATTTTTGTTTTGATTTAATACGAATAATATTTATAATTTATTTTAATGTTGCATTATATTTTTTATTATTTTATTTATTTGTTTTAATATAAATAACCCGTTGGCTATATGGGTGAGTATACTCGCAGGAGGAATCCCCACACTGGCAGAGGGATGGAATAGAAGACCTATTCCCACCTTTAACTGCTCTGCTGTCTGAGTCTTCCAGTCACCATATAAAGACTTGATCTTGTAGTTCCGCTCCCTGTGGGGAGCTTGTATTTAGTTTTTCTGCTGTGCCCAAGGAACTTAACCGCTGGTCCATGGACCGGCACTAGGCTAGAGCCACTGGCTGCTGGGCCACGGCAGCTCTGGGGGCCAGGGCTCAGGTACACCACCCAGCGCCTCCCTTCCTGCCACGGCTGTTGGGAGAAGCATCTCCTGCCCTACCTCTCAGCCAACTAGTGCTGGGAGGGGTGAGGTCTTCTCCCAGACACAGAAGAGCCGCGACCCGGGCAGCAGTGCTGAGCTGGTGGCTGGGAGAAAGCACAGGGCTAGGTGAAAGGGTGGGGCAGGCACTGGCGGTACCAGAGGTGGAGCTAGTGCTAAGGGCTTCTGGGGGTGGAGGCTCTAAAAGGTGGTGAACTGATAGTGGGGCTTCTGGGGGGGCTGGCTCTGAGGGGCTCTGGGGCGGGGGTAGTAGTGAGGGGCATATGGGGGCAGGACTGGCACTGGGGCTCTGGGGTTGGGGCTAATATTGGGAACTGGGGCTGGCACTTGCACAAGAAGCCTGCAGTGTAGATGTAGCCTTAGAGAATTTATGCAAAAGTTCTTGCGCAAGAGCACGTCCACACTGCCATGTGCTTTTACGCAAGAGTGTCCATGGCAGCGTGGATGCTCTCTTGTGTAAGAAAGCTCTGATGGCCATTTTAGCCATAGGGCTTTCTTGCGCAAGAAACCCCTGTTCCCATCCACACTAGCCTTTTTGCGCAAGAGCTCTTGCGCAAAAAGGCTTATTCCTCGTGGGGAGAGGAATAACTCTTGCGCAAAAAGCCCTCTCTTCTGACGATCTACTGTAAACTTTCTTGCTCAAGAATGGGCTTGTAGTGTGGACGCTCTGAAAGTTTTTGCTCAAGAACGGCCATTCTTGCTCAAGAATTCTGCAGGGTAGACCTAGCCTAAATGTTTTAGATGCGTAGCTTTCAAGATGGCAGTATCAGGGCCAGGCTAAACACTAAATTGACATTTTCAAAAGCCTAGACACATTCTGCCAGGTACATGGTTCAGACAGGACCATTTAAACCACCCAAACACCAGCAGTACTTTCTGATTTCTCTGCATGCCACACACGCAAAACAAACAGCAAGCTGATCTGAAAAACTCAAACACATAAGAGAAGAAGAGAGGGTGAGTCAGAGGGCTAGAAATGAGGCTTGGGAAGAGCAAATAGTAGCTTAGGGAGCTCAAGTCAATTATTATAAGCCTTCAAAATCTATGACTTGCAAAAATGGTTTTAATGTGTTTGACTTCAGCAGATATGATGGTAACTGCAGGTATCACTCTTTCTGGATAGTTTCTAAAATAGTGTGTCATAATCAAGTGGTACAAGTGAAGGTGAGAAAGGCATCAAGTGTTTCGAAAAGTGTAGGGTAAGCTATCAGGAGCAAGTAGCTAAGGATGGGAAAACATTACAAGGTATAAGTAGTGGATAGCGAAATCAATGCTTCTGACCTGAGCATTTGCATTATACAATGAGTTTTCAACAGTTCTGTCTCTAATATCATTAACTCACAGGCATTTACCTTCCTTCTCCTCCCCCTCCCCCCCGCCGCATCCCTCTTCTGTTCTGAAATGTGATTTTTCCTTTTCATATGTGTTCTTTTTTTTTTAATTGTATCCTTTGGTATATATGGTTGTGACTATTTTCTTCCACTATTTGATCTGAGGAAGTGGGTCTGGCCCACGAAAGCTCATCATCTAATAAACCATCTTGTTAGTCTTTAAAGTGCTACATAGTCCTGTATTTTGTTTCAACAGTTCTGGGCATACTCAAGAAAGATTTAAAAACAGGAGTTCCCAGACTGTTTGGAAGCCAATGCT